CGGAAGACGGGTCACCTGTCAATATATTAACTCGTTTCGCCGCAATACTACGGATTATTATAGAAACGGCGAAATAAAGCTTCCATCGTTCACGGACTGTTTCAGATGTGATGTTCGAAATATTTGTAAACGTGCGAAATTCCAACGGTAGCCGAATATTCCTGATTATACAGGATAAATCATATTATCAAGGTCTCTTTGAGTTCGTTATTGATGTCAAATGGCACGATGAACTCCATTAAAATATTTCACGTCAACAAAATTTTCCGCGGCTACGATGTGCGTATATATGTATGTGGATATGGATTTGAATACATTATCATAATACGTGCACGGAAAGAATGATTTTGTTGAAGTATCCAAATATTTAGATAGAATAGATCTGAACATAATTTTGTTTGGACCATCCAAATAATTATGTAGGACGCTCAAACTGGTTGTTAGAATGTTAAAACTTTTTGCAGTATTGTTTTCAACACTTAACCGTTCTACATAATTATTTTAATGATCCAACGAAATTATTTTCAGATTTTCGTCTAGCTAAATTTTTGTATGAGTGAAGATATTTACTGTGAAGATATTTTAATAACTTGTTAGATGATATAATCGCACGAGAATATTTTTGAAGGAATAGATAGAGATTGCAGTAAAGTCATTTTGTATATCTATATTTCAATATGTGTTAAATGCTGTTTTTATATATTGTAACGAATAAATTCGTATTCGAGTAACATAAATCAAATCATTACATTAGTTATTAACAGATCGTTAATTTTACAAATAAGGGAGTAGGAAAGATTAGATTCCGACGATTGTCTGCTGAATATGATAAAGCATGCCCTCCTAGGACGGTTACCGCATACAGAGCAAGATAAACGTAGGGTCCTGCAGGATTCTGGTTAGGTACTCGGTTTATCTTTAATCGGTGCGTCGACAAGACATGACCTCAGCAAGAATTTGCAATTTGCTGATGTATGTATATCGATAAGAGATCATCATTATTAAATGAATTCTCGAATTAAAAAACGACAATTACTTAATAAAGATCAAAATATTAATTACATTAACTTTTCATTAAAAGTGCAAAAAGAAAAAGCGTATATTTTTACGATTAATTCTTGACTGGTTTATTGTTTTTGGCAAAAGCAGTGTATTATTTTATTGGCGACACAATCTTCTATGACTGTATAACGATCTTTATAAATTCTAATCGATAATTCTACTGGCGTTTAATCCTGTAACTTTCATACGTACGCCGTTTCATTGTTTACGAGTCTAGCGACGATGTGTTTATGATGTGTTTCACTGTTTCAAAACAACCAATAAAACGGCACTTCCCGCTCGCTTCGTCGTATTGATGTCCGAACGTCGAGTAGCCTACAATGCTGCAACCAGAACTGCGGCTTCGCGCGATCGTTGCAGCTGCGCGTGGCTATCATCGGTGTCTGAGGTCGACATCGCGATAAAAAGGCAGCTAGGGCCAAGATGCTCAAAATATCAACGTTAATTGCCGATTCATTTGACTGTGAATCCGGAGGAAAAAAACGCTGTGTCAGATGCTATGAAATGGCGATCGTAAATAGCGGGTTCGCGCCCCGACATAAAATCCCGAATGAGCCGGGCAAGCTTAAAGCAGATAGTTGTTTTTAGAAAAAAAAAATAGCAGAATGCATGACTTTATAAGCGTTATACACATATATCAGCCGCGTTAACTACCGATATAAAATTCAAGGAAAGAAATTCTGACGCAAACTTCTTTTCTCTCTTCTCTTTTTCACGCGACGCTCTACCGGTCGGTTATGCGACACGTCTCCGGGTAGATTGCGATATTCTAATTAAATAGGCGAAGCTCCTCGTATTTCAGGATGATTCATCGCCGCTAGACGAGTCATTTTCATCCCGTGTCATTAACACATTACGGTGCGCGACTTGTTGGCCTGAGATTGCACCGGTCGCGATACCGCAGCAACAATTTTTCGACTCCGTTCTGCTACATTACGCGACTCGCGCTCCGAAACCTGAACGGTGCGCAATTTATCGTTCCGATATTTTTCATCCAAAAAAGAGAACGCCGCGTGGCGCCCGCGAGTCCGGTGGTCCTGGCGATCTCTCGTCGCCTTTCCACGAATAATTCTGTGAATCGGAAATTTCGGTTATCGTTCAAGGCTGTACTTGTAAACAACGCGAAAATAGAATTTTATTTTCTTTTTTTTTGTCTTAATGCGTTCGATATTCAGATGAGAGTTTGATACAACCACAGAACTTAACATTTAGATTAATGACTGATGGAGTAGTGAGACTTTTTGATTAAAATTTAAGAGCAATTTGCAATAGAAGCTGTAAGAAATCAATTAATCACAGTTAAATGTGAAGATCAAGAATCGACTATGATTGATCAATTTCTTACACAGAAAGGACAGTTTTGCTAAAAATTTTGCCAGATACAGATCTGAAAATAATTTTGTTAAATCATCAAAATAATTATAATTGCTAGAATATGTCAAAACTTTTTACAGTATTATTTATCATCGTTGAGATTGCTACGTAATTATTTTAATGATACAACAAAATTATTTTCAGATCTGCATCTATCTAAATTTTTAGATACTTCAGTAAAATCTTTCTGTGTACGGCTTATGACTTACTCTTTCCAAAATGACCCTATAGCTTAGTGAATATTATGATTTTTTTTTCAAGTAATAAGAGATAACAAATGCAGCAGTCAAATTCGGCTAGAAATTTTCAAAAAATTCAAAGATGATGTAACACCTAAACCGACCACCATACAAAACTTTGCGGAACTCTATCGAGTGAATTGGTATTTATAGAGGTGCAATGTGTGAAAAGAATTAAATGTTCTAGAATATATTTAATGACAGATCATAAAGGGCAAGTCGTAAATGATAATGACAGCAGGACCGTTTCTACGAGAACGTTTATACTTACTATAAATATCTCGGCTGCCCGTAATACGAGATTAATTTCTGTTTTTCCCGGTGCGCGCCTTACGTAGCATGAGGGGGTGCTGCGAAAGATGCCTTGGAATCTGCGTAATTAAGCGAGGGTCTCGCGAATAAATTTACATCGTCTGTAAATCCTTCACATTAGATAAATGCTTACAATTAGCTCCGTTTCTGCTGCGCCTTGCGCGTATTTCGAATTCGCGAAGACGTTTTCGGTAATTAAATAATATTCCAACTATTATAATGGCACGCGAGTAGTTATTTTATGCGATTTATTCGTATCTTTTAATTGTTACATTAATAATCAAATATGCACGCGAAGTAATAATAAATTTTTAATAATTAACAGACTATGTAAATTAGAACATTAATTGTTCTTCTAATGTGACTCTGTATAATTTTTCGTGCAATGTTAGAACAAAATAACTACCACTAACAAACACGAAGAAATTATTAAGTTAACAGAAACGTTTGTTGCGTTATTATTAAATGGAAAATTTTATTTCTACGCTTATATGCAAATTATTTAAATATAGAAAGGATTAAAACGGCTATTAACATATCAGATTTTAACATCTATATGTAGACTTTATACTTTTGCATGCAAGTTCGTGATATTGTTATATAAGATCTTTCTGTACTGATTGTAAGTTACTAGAAAACCGTAAGAGAGAGATTTCACGAAGATATTAGTGATGGCGGTTTAACGACATTGTAATAATCTAACCCTAGCCGTAAATAAGAGGAATGCACTTCATTTCTGGACAGAATGCATAAAGAATCATCCTTGTAGCCGGAAAAGCTCGGATTAATTCAGAGGCCTGACGTAAGTCGTAAAATAGTGCGTGACTGCCGGTTTTCCAGCGGAGGAAAGGGAAGAAACCACATACGTGCATAACTGCAAGTGAATGTGTTTGCGGAGCTTTTCAAGGGAATCTGCGTGTGTACTGTATATTTGTACGTATCCTCCTGTACAGGATACCTCAAAGAGAGAATCACATACCTTAGTCATATTATCTTTCTTTGATTTATTTAAATTTAAATAAAGTATAATAGATCATAATTTTTTCTCCAAAAATATATAATTTTATTAAGTATTTTAATAAATTGAATTCATATTTGGACAAATCAGAATTGAAACATATTTCTATTAAAAGAGCAAAATTTTGTTATTTTTTGTAATTTATAATTTTAATTTAACAAAATATCTTTTAATCTCGATCAAACTTAAAAATTATTTATGTTCCCACATTAAAGTTATCATCATATTGTTAAGCCTTAAGATATAGGAATTTTGAGACGCTCTATATACGTAAAGACTAGTAGCTTACCTTGAATTCGGAGAGTAAGATTTTGCTGTATGTAACGAGGCACGTACGCCTTCTACGACTACAGATACCATTACGAAAATGACGGTAAGCAATTGAAAAAGCGTACGAAACATTTTTCGATGCGAGACGAAAGAGAAATTTATCAAATACGAAGGATTTACCGACAGGATGTTAATATGTCTTTTGAATGTATGCAAGCGATTTTATGGCAATCCAAGTAAAAAATTGTAAATTATACAGTGCTGGATATTGATAAAGAAAGAAATAAGATATAAAGACAACAGCAAATTCGATGTTGCTTATTGTATAACACCTCAGTTATCACTAATACTGTTGTGTTTCTTTATATTCTTTTTGTAATTATAAACATTTTTTTCTTGTACAAATGCGTGTAAAGTAAGTTAGAAATAGCGACTCGGGCACTTAAATACCTGCAGAGCCGGCATCACAGCCGGAGGCTGTACGAAACGGTTATGTGGTTGTCGAGTGTACTAAAGCACAAGGTCAAAGTTTCGGCAATTTAGGATGCGATGCGGGTAAGGAGGTAGCAACTTTAATCACTTTCGAATCGGGGTAAATCTACTCGCGTATCTCGAACCCGCAGGATCATATCGTGTGTAGTAACTGCTTTACGAGAGGATTCCGATATAAGGGTATCAAGGATGCATAGAGGAAACAATCAAAACTGGTTAAATTAACAAGTCAAGATATATTCTTTCTTATACATATAAAACAATTTACAGTTGTATCTAATTATTTGAATTTATTCATAGTTGTCTGAATGTCTATGGCACACGATGGCGATATTTTTTATATCTTTATAGATATAAGAAACATAAATAAATAGTTACAAATGATTGATTGTATATCATACTTAGAATACGATCCAATTGTAAACGTGCGAACGATACATCTTGAAAGAATTGTTAGCAATTTTCTTCTGCCTACGTGAGATTTCAGTAACAGGAAATATCGAATAAGTTGTCATATTTCTTACTTCTATTGCGCGCATGATTATTCATCTCCTTGTTCGAAAGTAAATGCCAATATATTTATATACCTCGATCTCTTTCGTTTTGTGGTTTTAAGCGGAATTTTAATCGAGGGCACGACTCATGCGGACCTTCCGCAGTATGCAGTATCCATAAATATCAAGTGAAACGCGGGATAAATGGGTATGGCGTGACTTGGGCCAGCCGCGTGCTGTATATCCGAGGTCTCGAAAATGGCAGATGTATCGCATCGGCGTGCAAATCGGAGATGTCGCCTGTAACAGATTCTTTCGAGTGCTTTGCTTAAAAGAATTTCTTTCCTGGTACCGGATAAGAGTATCCCTCGCTGCCGGGATCCACGTTCACGTGAAGCCCCGAGCCTATGAGGGAGCCGAAGTTATCATCACCGTGTGCGACGCTAGAAATGGCAAGTCCAGAATTGTGTCCATCTCCCAATATTGTGCCGGTTCCTACTGCATCGACAGATCCAATCCCAATGGGAGCGATTGGTCGTATTGGGTCGTATTGGGATTGAACACCGGTTGATATGATAGGTTGAGAGACAGAGATTGGTCTAGCGGACAGTGGATATGGATCAGAATTAATCGGTATGGGTTGGGAGATTGAAACTGAGGCTGGTGTGTGAATTGGTACCGGAACTGGATGCGGAACTGGGACCGGGTGCGGCACCGGGTGTGGTACAGGTACGGCATGAGGCACCGGTACTGGAACCGGACGGGGTACGTTAACGGGATAGGTTTTGGTAACGAAAACTGGAACCGGTTGAGGTACCGGAATGGGAACGGGGCGCTTCACTTCGACGGGTACGGGATGCGGCACCGGTACGGGGACTTGTCGTGTTACGGGAACCGGTTGAGGTATGGGAACTGCAACTGGAACCACGCGATTCACGACGGTTCTGGGTACGTGATGTAAGGGTCCGTGTTCTACACCGATGCCGAAACTTGGTCTGTGACCATGGGGTCCCCCTATAAAATTGATTTCAGATCCAATCCCTCCGTACCCGTGTCCATATCCTTGTCCAAATCCATGCCCATATCCATGCCCATATCCATTCCCATATCCATATCCATGGCCATATCCATGCCCGTATCCATTCCCGTATCCATGCCCGTATCCATGCCCGTATCCATGCCCATATCCGGGTCCATGGAACTCAACGTCACCGTGGGGAATGTGGCCATGATCATATATCGATGATCCTCCGTGTACGGAAGCACGTTTGTCATGTTTTTTCTCCGTCACATCGGCGAAAACGGAGACGAACAACAATGAAACCTGTAAGCAATAATTCGATATTTATTATCAAGAGAAGAATTATATTTTTTAACACGAAATTTCTATATTATTATGGACATTTGTAAGTTAATTATTTTGGTTCTCTTAACATAAATGGTATTATATTGTAATCTATAAAAAGTAGAGATCATTCAGTTATATAATTACATAAATAAAATAGATTTGAGAACGGCAAGTGATTAATAAAAAATTAATATATGAATAAGATATAATATATAATATTAGCATTGAAAAATTATATTTTGTTCTTAATGTTTTAAAAATAGTTGAACAATCATGTTACAACATAAGAAGAAAACATTTACATCTGCTAATGATAAAAATTGAGCAAACTGGAGAACTGCACCTTTTTACTTACGGCAAATATTAAACTTTATTTTCTTACGATACATTCTATGGAGAGATTAGTAGAAAAGAAATTTGTAGAAAAATTTTATTACTCACTAGGAATGCCTTCATGGTGAACGTGCTATGAGGAGATGAGTCTGAGTGTGCTTCATATGATCGATTCCTCGGTTTTTATACGACGACACAACTACTTTCACTAGATGTCACTGCAACACGCCTTGTGATCTGAACCTATCACATTTTTGAACTCTCAAACTTCCTCAATTGACCATGCAAGGAAACGAGATTCACTAAGTAAATTGGCGAAAAGAATATTCATGAATTACCCTGTTAACATAAGTTATTCTAGGACTGTATTTATAAGATTTATTTAATTAACAGATTTCTTTGAAATTTTTAATATATTTATGAAATTAACTTTCATATAAAATGTAATTCACATTTCTATAATATTACAGAATTCAAGAACAAGCGAATCCTTAAAATTATATTAAAAGAGAAAAACGGTAAATATAAGTGCAGCACAGTAATTAATGCACTAATAAATTATATTTACAATTAATTGTAATTGAAAAAATCATTTAATACAATGTTTCGACTTTTCTTGGAATCATCTTCAGCTTACAATTGATGATTCAATTTAAGATCTAATATTCTGTCAATGTAGACCCAGAGATAAAGAAGCCTTGCTAGAAGAATGCCATTAAAAAATAAGTATAGCTGCAAGACCGGGAATAATGTTAATAAACATATGTTCTACTGAAAGAAAGAAATATTAACATAACAGAAACACTCTTATTATATAGGTTTAAAATAAAAATTAAATTAAATTTTTGTACATACGCTAAAATTAAAATAATTCCCTTGTCTGTACGTTAACATGATGCAGGTGAAAAGATTTATTGTTTTCATTGCAGACCGTTATATAAAGTTTTTTTTTAAATTGAACCGCACTTGTAGAGTCGTTATTACCAACGATATTTTTTTCTGGTATCTGGAAATGTCATTTCCATGTCACACGATTGTTTTCAATGTCCAACATATAATAGTCCATGCCCATGCATATATTTGTAGAACACAAATATGCTTCACGATCATGCCCCAGATTATACAATCTTATCGACTACTATGCTTCTAATAGAGAAGAAAAATAAATGCAAATTGTTAGAAATTTTATTTAAAGTTATTTAGAATAATTAACAAAATACGCACATGTCTCCAGGTAAATGCTAGAATATTAATAGACAAATTTTTTATTTAAACTACACATTAGTTTTGATTGGTTAAACGTATGATGCGACGTCATTAAAAAATTGTACATTGTTATTTAAAATATAAAATTTTGTATACATCTATAAATTATCAAAAAGTAACGTTTTCAATCGTGTCTTATTATTTCGCAAAAATAAATAATAAAGAAGTTATCTCAAAATTCTTTAGCGACAATGCATACATAAATTTACCGATGACAGACACAGGAGTCGCCTTACCTAATACTACAGATCTTTCTACTTGCTTTATTTGTCGAGGTCAACCGTTAATTGTCCTTTTACTTACAGTTCAGATTGTTGGAGTAAAGCGTTAGTGGGGCAATAAATCGGTAACCATACGGCGACAATTAGCAACGTCTCGTTGAGCGCGTTGCGAGGATTGCGTGCCATTTCACAGTCGTAATCCTAATTTCCTCTTACTTGAGAATTAATTGGACTCAGATACGACGATTCAATATTCTTGCGAAGTATGCGTCATTTGAGCTTAAATGGATGTAATTGTAGTATTGTGGAACTCAATATTCGTCACGTAATCCATTTTCGTAATAAAAATGGCGATAGTAAATTTAATAGCAAATAAGTTCACTAAACCTCTATTTAAATATTTGATTCTTTAAAACATACTAATGAAGAATTTTAATTATTATAAGCTTATAATTCTAAATAGATAATGCTATTTTAATGTTAATTATATTAAGTTAATAAAATTAATTATATATGACAGAAAATAAGTACATATTTTAAATATCAGTAACAAAAATTGCTTTAAATGTATATGATTAATTGACGTAAATAAATAAGAAAATTAAATTGAGAACAGCATTTCTAAAAGCAGAATTACCGAATACTGCTTTGATTACATAGTTCAAGAATAGCAATATCATTACTACAAGTGTTAATTATACTCGGAGAAACAGCATAGACATAGTCAGAGAAACGAGTTTTCCCTTAAAGCTACGCAATTCAAACGGGGTAACGTTGGAATGGTTAAAGCGCGTATTTAGCTGCTGGCCAGGCGCCCTCTCATAATTAGCAGTTTCCAAAGGATTTCCACTGAGAGTCCGCTAGCAGGCGCCGCCAAGATTTATCCGCGTCATTCTTTTTATTCGGGTATTCACGAACGAGGTGCCGAGAAAAAGAACAGATAGTAAATGGAGACATATTCCTGTAGGAGCGCGCGAAGCACGGTCGATGCAGAGCGGGAGCTAATGTCAGAGATTAGAGGTAATCCGTTCTCGGCTGGCAATCGTCGAGGAGGATCCTCCTCGTTCGCAACCGGAGCGCAGCTTCGATCTAGATACTGCAGTCGTACTGTCGCAGCGCCGGAGGTTCTCCTTCCTCCTTGGATCCTGGTCCGAATCCTGGTCGCCCTTTTTCACCGGCAGATACATTAGAAGGAATTACGGGGAGAACGCGTTCCGAGTGACGTGAACATTAAGACCGCGCAAGACACGGCTCCGTAATTACACTAATTACGGAGTCGTTAGGATTCTTTATAAATACTGCGTCTTTGTTGCCTTCTCTTTTTCTCACGACCGCTCTCACGAGTACGAGCTTCGGAAGCGGCCACGGAAGGAATGCGTGTCGACAGCTTTATGGAAAATTTTGCGGTTGTGCGGTCCTTGTTTCCTTCATGAACAAGTTCCCTTTTGCATTTACTATTATTATCTGGAAGTTAATATATGCACTGGTAATGATATAATGTGGAAAAAATCTTGTCCTCTTCTCTGCGTATTGTGTGATTTGTTTTTATAGAGTATTTAGACAATTCTTCCTCTGCTAAAATTGTCCAAAGCATAATTATGTAACTATTAAATATTTAAAATTAAAAGACTCTCTTACGCAAATTAAAGATGCAAACACATAATAAAATTGTGTTTATTTCATTTTTAATTTACTTTAAACCGAAAATAAATTTATATAATATGTATGACCTATTTATCAATATATTTAGTATTAAATATTTAGAAAAAGATAATTGATCAAATTTTTTCTAATCATTTTCCAATACAATACAGAACATTATCGTCTGTTATGACGCGACTGTAAACCTGTTATTTAATATCTGTTATTAAATTAAAATAAACAGAAAGTCTGGTCATTGAACGTTAGTTTGAGTATTTCCCATTCAAATTAAAATTCAGTAGACACTTTGTAAACTTTCGTGTTTCTCTACTTTCACTAAACCAGTCTTCGAGGAAATCGAAAATATGCACCTACGAACATTTCGTTTCTTCCAATTATAAGGTTGACTTTGCTAAAATATTTAAATAATTAATAGAGCTTGCTAATTAAAACAGCGAACTGTGTAAAGGTGTCATTCACGAAATTCGATACAGTCGTAATTTAAGCGCGATTTCACTTGTAAAACCGTTATCTTTATATTTTGGATACATTTAGATACATATACAAGTTATAAAAAGTACACACATATATATATATATATATACATGTAAAATTAGAAAGAATTATATAAAATTTTACACAAATTTAATGATCTTCAGAAAGCAAATTGAATTAGAATTTAGAAGCAAAAAATATTTCAGTTTTTAAAAGATATAATAAATCACGTGTGAAAAATGCTGCTTATTTTTATTTACTATATAGTGTCAAAAACATAAATAGTAAATATTAAATATCGAGACTGCAAAAAAATATAACGAACCATAATTTGTAAAAAATTTAACTTTTAATTATCTACAACATGCAAATAAATCGATCCGGCGATAATTAATATGCTTGTAAATTTTCGACGCACCTTATAAATCAGTGAGACGATTACGTGATAAAATATTACATAATACGTCTAGATATGCCTTGACACGTTTCCGTCATAAACAACGCATTTTCGTGGACGCCCACTAGTTCGTAAACTTCTTTCGTTCATACGTCGACATTGTTTTACGGCACTCAGAATGGCAAAGACGACGAGATGTAGAATGACGTTGCGTCTTCGAGCTGATGGTGCGAGAGCAGGAGGAGAGAAAGTCGTCGGGAAGAACTCGATTTCGCAAACGCCAAAATAAAAACTTTTCTCTCGCTTAGCTTTTCGCACCGCGCGCAAATCTCGAGCGTATTTTCTCACGGCAGTCCTCGCGATCTTGACGTTCCGCGCAAATTGCAACCACCAACAATCAAACTTACCATCGCGCGAGACATCGTAAGCGACAAAGGATCCGTAATCTTGTGCTCTTTCGACGTCCCTGTTTTCATGACGGAGGGGCTCTGATCTAAACGAAACGATCTTTGTGACGCATTTCTGAAAACGATGGTGAGAAAATTCGTGTTCGGATCGACGAAATCTGAAAGTGGTTTGTACGGCGATTACTTATTCCTGCAATATCAACGTATAAATTTGAATCTCGAATCGAGCTCGGTCTTCGGCACTCATAAAAATAGCGGGCAATAGTAAAACCGGACCATTGAAATGTAATAACGTGATATTTCACAGAAATATAAATAAAAGTTATTAGTGTCTAGATTGGTGAATACGAGAAAATTTGTATTTATGTCTTCTTTAAATTCGACTATTATTATCTCTATACCTGCTTATTATGTCCTGTTGTTTTTTAAATACTATAAATTCATTTGAAAGCAATATCTATGACTTAAAAGTAATACTTTGTTAAATATTAATACCAAAAGTGTACCTAGAAAAATAGAATAACGAGTTTCTTTCAGTATAGACAGATTCACGAAAAAAAATAGATTGAGTGATATAGCAAAACTATTATAGCTGCGTGAATTCAATAACTATAACTAACATAAGAAGAGTTGATGGTTTAACAAATCGCTAATGTTATTCAGCTGTCAACTTTGCTACTTTAACATAAAAAACTAACTATTCGTATATTATGATTGTAGATTTGCTAAATCAGTGAAGTTTTTAGCTGTGCTTTTTTTTCCGTGAATT